GTTTTATTGTGAGAAGTTCAAGGTCATCATTATCATCACTTGAGTCATCACAAGTGGTATTCTATTATTCGAAGTGCCAAATCCTTCATGTTCTTTGGAAGGTGGTTCTCATGTTCATCATATTCAATATAAGTCATTCATAGGTTATCAAAGACCCAATAAGTTCTTCAATCGAAAAATGGTTCAAGTTCTTTGATTCTTGTATTATTGTTACTTTCGATTCTTAATTTTTAGAAAGAGATCTTAATATCTTGTTAACGAGTTCAAAATTAGAAAAACTTTTACTAAGACTTTTTAAACTATTGACGACATCTATAAAACGGGTGTACATGTCTCCAACGGTTTCGCTTGGTTTCATATGAAATAATTCAAAATCATGCATCAAAGTATTTATTTTAGAATATTTTACTCTATTAGTATCTTCGTGTGTGGTTTCAAGAATATACCAAATATCAAACGCCATTTTGCAAGTAGAAATCCGATTAAACTCATTTTTGCTCAAGACACAAAATAGAGCGTTCATAGCTCTAGCATTTTTTTAAAAAAAATTCTTCGCCAAATCATTCCATTCTTTCATTGGAGTAAAAGACTTTTGAAAGTCATTTTCCATAATACTCCATAAATTTAAATCCAAAGAAAGCAAGAAAACTCTCATACGAGTTTTCCAATAAGTGTAGTTCGTCCCATTGAACATGAGAGGACGAATGAGAGAGTGACCCTCTTGACAACCGAAAAGAGTCATTTCTCTTAGGTTGTTAAACCAAATGAGAAATAACGAGGCTTTGATACCAATTGTTAGGAACGAATCGGAGCTAAGAGGGGGCAGCGGGGGGAGGGGGGGGGGGGGAGGCGGCATGGGGGCGTGGGGTTGGGGTTGGTTGAATTAGTGCATCGGTAAAAACATCGATTTCAAAAAATATTCATTCGTTGAAAACCGATCAAAAAGATGTTAATTTAAAAACACTTACATAAGCGTATAATGAGGAAGTAGAGTAGTGAAGGAAGTTTGCAGTGAGGTAAATTATACAAATAGAAATGCAAACCAGATTTTTATAGTAGTTCGGTCGTCGTGACCTACATCGACTCCGTCGATTCCTCTTTCGACGAGGCCACCGACATCTACTAACAATCTTCCTTCAAGTGGAGAAGATCAACTACCCTTTTACACTCTTTCTCATTTTCACGAGTTTAGGAGATAACCCTTACAACCTCTCTTTCTTAAACCTCACTTCTCCCTTTAGAATAACTTTCTAAATACTAGGAAGAATAGACTCTAAATCTAAGAGAAGGCCAAAATCATCTACCGAGTGTGACATCGAGTAGTCCAAATAATAAATTTATTTGCAGCATACGGAAGCCAGTTGTATATATAGGGGAGCCTTGTTAAAAGATCAAATATTTATAAGGGGCCTAATTTAGCCGCAAGTGTAGCTTTTTTGGGCCCAAAATATGAACCTGATCAGATCAGAGAGACAATTGAGGCCGGCAGCCCAAATCTTGATGATGCAGCATGTGAGAAACGTGCCTCTTTGTTCGTTCAAGAAACATGAGATTTGGTCCACACATTAAGTTGGTGTAACTAATAATCTATTTTTTATCTTTTGTTTTTTCTCTTTTTGAATCGCAGCCGTCGCCCTATTTTAAACAAAAAAAAATCTGAAATGCTAATTTGATCACATGAATCTGACGGTTGAGATCAAAATGCTAACTGAGTAACGGATGGTAAGTGCGGCCACTGTCAACTCGTTGTCAGTGTTTTCACGCAAGGTTGCTCCGAGATGAGGAACAGATCCATGGAAGGCGCTGACATTGCTGGGGAAGAGATGGGTACTTCTTGAGATGGCTATAAATGAGACATCACCTATGTGATGATCGTAGAGTAAAAAGGCGATCAAAATGCAAAGTGCTCCGCTGCTATTCTCAGCCGCTAAAAGGTTCGTAATCTGTGAGCCATGTCTATGTGCTACGTTCGATCGAGCGCCGTCTTCCTCTCTCTTCCATGCATGTAGTTGTGTATTGTGGGTTGCAGGCTAGAAGGCAAGGTGGCCTTGATCACCGGCGCAGCTAGCGGCATCGGCGAGGCCACCGCCAAGCTCTTCGCCCGCCACGGCGCCAGGATCGTGATCGCTGACGTCCAAGACGACAAAGGCCACGCACTCTGCAGCGCCCTCGGCCCTTCCGTTGCCTCTTACGTCCACTGCGACGTCACCAACGAGTCGTACGTTTAGCAGGCCGTTGACGCCACCGTCTCCCACCACGGCAAGCTCGACGTCATGTTCAACAACGCCGGCATCATCGGCGAGCCGTGCCTGCGGCTCCTCGAGTCGGAGAAATCAGATTTCGAGCACGTGGTGGCCACCAATCTGGTAGGGAGCTACCTGGGGACGAAGCACGGGGCGCGGGCGATGCTGCCCGCACGCCGGGGCAGCATCGTGATCACCGCGAGCGTGGCGTCGGTGATCGCGAGCATAACGCCGGTGGCATACACCTGCTCCAAGCACGCCGTGCTGGGGCTCATGAAGAGCGCGGCGCTGGAGCTGGGCCAGTTCGGGATACGCGTCAACTGCGTGTCGCCCTACGCGCTGCCCACGCCGCTGGCGATGAAGGCGTTCGGCATGGGGGAGGAGGAGCTTTCGGACAACATGGAGGAGCACGCTACGCTCAAGGGGGTGAGGCTCAAGGCGGAGGACGTGGCGGAGGCGGTGGTGTACCTGGCCAGCGACGAGTCCCGATACGTGAATGGGCTCAACCTTCTTGCGGACGGGGGGTT